ACTGCATTCCAGTCTTGTATATGTTGCTTGATCTTTTCTAATTCTGCTTGGATTTGGTATTGGAGTTTTAGTTCTGTGAGTGTGTTAGAAGTTTCTGATCCTGTTTCAAAATTATTCGTGATCTCTATATATGGTGTATCTGCCTTTTTTGATTGTGAATCGCTCCACTGATGTATTTGCCTAATTGAGTTTGGTGAAACTTGAACCCTGGGAGGTTGCCTATGATCGAGTTGTATGGTTTCGAGCTGTTTTTTGTTTGCTTGACTAGAATTGCTATCGCTGTTTTTGTGCTGACCTCCCTAATACATCTGTTTAGCTTGTTTTGAGTATTAAGTTTGCATCCATTACATTTCTCGATTGGAGAATCTCCTGCTATTTGTGTGAAGTGTTGGGCTTTGAATATGTTGTTGACGATTTTGACCCTTTTATTGACTTTTCCAATATAGATGTTGTGGTCAATGATTGTTGTGATGTATTTGTGTTTCCGAATGTTGTTCTAGTTAGCCAAATCACATATGGCAAAGGGATTTATTGTTAGTTCTCTTAGATACTCTTCCTTCTCTTGATATGCCATTATGATCTTATTGAACCAGAGTGGTTTTCTTCCTACATACTTTGCTCCCGTTCGAGTCTTAAAGTGGGTCCAAGTTATATAGTATGAGTTTGTAGTGTTGGTTATTTGCCCTATGAAGATAGTGTTATATCCTGGCATATATGGATGACCTGGTTTTTATCACTAATAGCAAACAAAACTTGAAAAATCTCCTATTAATAGCAAACCAATTCTTTTCAATAAACAATATTATATGTAATAAGAAAAAAACAAAAATAATTTCAAATATTAAAATCAAATGTGATCTTAATAGTACTATCAAATTCGATAACTTGCCAATTCAAATATTGAAATCTCATGAAAGCATAAAATACTTAGGCATACTTATCTCTTCCAAAAAGTTTCTCAAGTTTAACAGGAAAGCTTTTTCCCAGATCACAGACATAATTACTAAAGAACTATTCAAATACAATTGGAAAGGTGAAATCAAACAACAAATATATAACCGAATAATTATAGAAAAATTTGAATATTTTCTTACCTTATCCCATCTCAACAAGTCTATACTTAATCAACTCCAAATCAAAATAAACAAACTTATCAAAACAGTATACAGAATTATCTCCAGATACTTGAATGCAATTCTTATTAACCACTGCAGTCTTAATATCACACCTTTTGAAGAAAGGTAAAAATCTTTTTTAATTGAAAATATTATATTTAAACTCTTTATATTAATCACAAGAAAATATCTATTTCAAGAACTATGATTAATTCAAAAGAATAAAGCAATCTGGTTTTGCTCAATCTATAATTTAAAAAAGTTTAACCAGAACAATTGAATAATATATACAATCAAAATCATAAAAGATATTAAAATTTAAATATGCCTATTCAATTATACAATACATTACAATAATACTGAGAACTCAATTGGCCTTTTACTTAATAACCTACAGCCCTATAAAAGAACTACAGCAATTAATACAGTCAATACTCTCAATATCAAATTCACTAACCAATTTTTAAAATACAATAACAATGAAAAACTTACATGATTTCAATTTATATATATACAGATATAGTGCAATGTGGATCTGAGTCCAGCTAGTTTAAAAATTTCTAGAATTCAAACAATCTTTTTGATTTTTATGGCTCAATACCCAATCCAAACCATCCTTTTAATATATATACAATCTTAACTATTTTGTTAAAACATATAAGAGACTTTATAATATATATGAAAAAACTAATTTTAAAGGAAGATATTATATGGTAGATTCAAACAACAATCTATTTAGATGCAAAAGATATTTATTAGGAACTTTCATCACAAGCCTCTGTATAATAACCTTCACAAGTATATTAATATCCTTCTTGTGAATGTCTCCTAATTCTAATGATCCAACTGAATATTATTTAAACAATATAATCAATGAATTGTTTAATGTACTTCAAAGAGATAAAAGCATCCTTCAGTTCATCAACAATTTTTCAATCTCCTTTTTTATTTCAACACATCCAAAAATTAGTTTCTGTCAACATTACTATCTTTAACTTTATTAAACAAAGTTATTGCAAATAATATCAGAATCAACCTAGTCAATTCAGACTATCCATTAAATGACCTTTTATATATTATTTTTGATATCTTTTACTGATGTTTACTAAACAGTATAATATAAATTAGAAATAACAAAAAAATATTTCAAAATACTTCTAACTATCCAAGAAAAATAATCAAAGTTAACTTTGTATTGATATCATTAAGAATTAATCAATTAATATAAGATAAATTAATTAAAATTATATATACCAGACCCAAGTTCAATTCAAAATTCAATAGTTTTATTTTAATGGATTAATTTATTATTACACTTCTTAAAAAGTCTATTAATTAACAACTTACAACTTGGTAGCAGTATCAGATGGTGCAAGAAAATCTTAAGCATTACCAAAATATATATAATCTATAAGAGCATATCAGTCCTAAAAATATTTGATTTTATTTATAACTTATATGGTCTCAAAATTGTTAACAAATTTAACAAGAATATTAAAAATATCAAAACTAATAAATATAGCAACCTAATTGCCTTTAGAATTAAATTACTCTTAGAAATATTTCCTATAAAAGAAAATTTTCACAAACTATATCCAGAACAATATCCAAATCCTTATTGTCTCAGATATGACCTTTGTACTGAAGACATTCAATATGTTTTCAAATATCCATTAGTAACAAAAAACATTAAACAAATTATTTTCAGCATTAATACTATTTTTCATTTAAAAATTAATCATAAAATAATCTTATGCACATAGCAACTAATGGAGCTGACATATGGCATTACTGATAATATCTTCTCTATATTCAATCTCTTCAACTGGATCAAAACATTAATTAAAACCTTAATACAACTTTACAAACTAATTTGGATATTTCAATATATTATAGCTAATATCTCTTTTATTATTGATATTAAATGAAACAAGAATTACTTTAATACCTTAGTAAAAAAGAACAATCAGAATACCAGCAAATCAGATTCATCCAAAAGCTTCTTTTTTTTCACCTTAAAAGATCCTATTATTATTGATTTATCAATTATAGTAGTAGATTCTTATATTTAAAATGAATATAACTTCTTTAAATACATTTTCAAACTAATAATCAATTATTTTAACCTTCTTTTATAAAATACTAAATGGATATTTATAGTTACTTGAAGTCACTTGACAAGATATATTGTTTTAAAATTTATTTTCAATACTAATTAAGTGATTAATATAAGCAAGTTAATATTTAACTCATTGTTTTATTATATATAAAAGATGTCAATTCTTTTATAATGTATATATATCACTATATAAATTAAATAAAGAAATAATATTTACCTACAAAAAAAAAATAAAATAAAATAAATTTACTATATTATTTAATTATAAGTTTTAGTTTAACTATATTATTATAAAAAAAAATTTTTTTTAATAATATATATATATTGTATATTAATAGAATAATTGATAATAAATAAACAAACGTTTATTTATTAATGCTAAAAGATTTTAAATTTATTAATAAAATTTTTTTTAAATTTTTTTTTAAAAATATTATAAGAAATAATTAATTATAATTATAAAATTATTTTAATATACTGTATAAACTTGTTCAGAATTTGATTTTTATAATTTTTTTTATTGATTAAACAAAGTAAAAATTTATATTAGAATTAATTTACTAAAATAATTTTATAAATAAAAAATACAAATAATTACTACATTATTATTTAATATATATTTTCCATTTTGTAATTTATACATAAATAAATATAATGTATACTGTATATACAGTAGAAAAAAATTTTTTGCTCATCGTACTAAAGTTGATACTATTTTATTCCTTAAATGTTCATATTTTTATTATACTTTCATGAGAATTAATATAACAATCCAAAATCAGTGGATAAAAAAATACATCTATCAAAGACGTACATAAATTTACATCATTAACTACAGATTCACTACCGTAGAAAAAGCGGTTTGAAAATTTACAATTTTTTATGAAATTTTTGTCTAACATCTAATTTCTATGAAATTTGCTATTGATAAAAATAATTTTTTTAAAAAAAGAAAATTGTGCAAATCATCTAAGTCGTAAATTCCTCTAAAGTTGTGATAATAAAAAGATTCAACCAATCCTATTTCACCTAAGTTACAGTATAGATGCGTAACTTGGAGCTTCCGGTAATAATAACTGATCTTTATTCGTTGCTTCGTAAAGGGGTAAATCGTCTGTAAATCTGCAGATTGTAATAGGAACCTTAATATGAACCTGTTTTGCAGATCGACGGCTTTTCTTAGATTTATCGGGAACTTTAGCGACGAAGGTGAAGTTTAAATAATGCATTACGGAGATTGTTGATGTAACACACGAATGATTTATCTTGCTTGGAAACGAGAATAAAATATTTTTGGTAAATTGCCTTGTATCTACCTTTCCTGACTCGTTTATTTCTCGGATATTATTTTGTTCCTTGTCTTTCTCCTTGTTCCAAAGAAACTCCCGATTAACTCTGCTAGGATAATCGGATTTACTCGTCCCAAACAAAAAATTCTTTTCTTTCTTTAATATTGTTTGTTCATCGAAATTTGTGATTTTACAATTTGAGATAGTTTTGGTTTCGACACTTCTATGCCCTTTAACTTCGTAAATGGTATTCTCAACGAGTGAAACTTGTACGTTTGCCATTCTTAGCTTTTCAGCAAGGGGTTGAATTGTCAAACCAATATTTATGGGTTTTCCAATAACATTTGCTTTTGTAGGCAAGTTAATTTCGTATGCTAACGTGTTTTTCCATTCTTTTGCAATTGCTATGCCCAAATCATTGGGATAAGTCCGAATAATGTTCACGTGCTTTGTTACGTGTACATTTGGAACGAACCGAGATTTGGTGACTGTGGCGACAAGTTCGTAAGAGATGGTACCAAAACCAGCACGTGCAGTTTCTGGAATTGAACCAGGCAGGAATAATTCAAATGGATAGATGTACTCTCCGGATGGAATTTTATGGTTTACGAAAGCGATTGGTTTTGTAGATAAATAATTTGGACTTGTGAGATCCAAGAAAGTCCATTGATGATTTATTATCTCTTCTTCTTCAACAAATTTATTTGTGTTATTTGGTCCTGTAATAGTGATTTCTTAGCAAAATGAAATAGAAACCAAATTTTAACTACAATTACACCTGAATAAACAAACTTTCTTACTTTTCCAGAGGGTTACTATTTTTCCGATAAAATTCAATTTGATCTTCTTTATTTTTGTAGCCTTGGCGAGATTTAGAACCAGCTCTCCTCTCAGGAAACATCCCAAGGATTCCTTAGGTGAACCATTTAAAAAGAGGGTATTTTCAATCAAATTAATTCTCAATTCGTCTGAATGATTGGATATTATATTTGCCAATTTTGAAAGATGATTGTGGTGAGACATAGTTTGTTTGTTTTTTTTTGTTATGAATTAAAATCACGTTTTATCTATACAAAATGCCGTCTTTACAAAGTTTGTTGAAGAGAAGAATTTTAATTTGAAAGAAACTCAACTAGACAAATGTTTCTTATATAAACATCTAAGGATTGCGCGACGCAGCCTTAAGCAATCAAGTAGTACAGCTATTCACGCGAGATCGATTAGTAATTGTTTTCTCTAGTGCTAAAACTACATGCTACACAGATCTATAAAAGGTAAATCATGAACATCATCATTGTTGAGATCTGACGTTGTTGTAAGAAAAATTAACCATTCAAGATTTTAGCATACAGTATATCATCTAGAAGTACTGACCAATTGCATTAAAGAAATTGATAAAAAAACATCGATTAAAATTTTTAATAAAGTCAAGACATCAAAGCTCATATTGTATACACAGTATATGCTTCAATAATATACCCGCGGGTCAGGATTGGCGACGCAATCCTTGACTTCGTGTAACGTTGAAGTACTGTAAGTTTACAGGGAGTAGACAGAAAGAAAGCATGGATTTGTTGAGTTAATGTGATAGAGGTAATTTTATTGGATAGGGTTTTTATAGTTTTAAATTGATTTGTTGGAATTGTTTATTTTGTTCATTCTCATCTCATTCGTATATTAATCCAGAACAAAGCGAAGGACTATATAGAAACGATGCAGGGTGGCAAAGTATCACGTGCTGTCCGGACGTCTGCCCATGCTCATATGATTGGTTTACATTTATTTATTCATTAATTATAAAAGAAATATAAATGTAAAATCTAATAATTTAATCTTATTTGTTCTAGCGAAGCTGATTGGAATAGTGCATACGATCTCCGGACTCAACAATGGTTCCCGTTTCCTAGTTATTGCAATATAAATAAAAATTATAAGAAAAATAAAAATCAAATAGAAATAACAAATATAATAAAATAGAAATAATAAACATAACAAAAATAAAAGAATAATTAATTAATGAAAATAATAAAACAAATAAATTTAATAGAAAGTTACTTTTTGTTTAATTTGTAATTATTACAATTGACATTTTAAGTTATTGCTTTTTTTTTTTTTTTTTTTTTAATCTCTAATCAAACTGCTAGTCATATGTTTATTAATTTGATTTGAAATCAATAATACAACATATGATATGATACTTTTTTTTTTTAACGGATAGCTTACACCTTGTTTATTGAATATTGTTTTGAGTATATACAACTTTGTAATTTACAAAATTTAAAACTCTATCTATTCTCTAAACTCACTAAAGGTTGCCCTTACCGTGCGGCTTATTGCCAAAAGAAATTTATTGATATATCTTTGACTAATTTGCCAAGGCT